AGTCAGGGTGGGGGCCGTGTGGGCAGTGTCTGCCAGGCAGGTGGACTCCCGAACAGCCCTGACTTCACCACGATGCAACAAACGCATGTAACAGAATCACACATGCACCCCAAATATTTATACAAATAAAGAAATAAATAAGGCAGAACGAGGTAAACGTACACAGGCTTTCCACAAAACCAGGAAGCTATAAGCAGAGCTGTGTCCGAGTGTGAGGTGCACCTGGCATCCATGCGGCTGGGGCTGTGTCCACGGTGGGGTGTGCCTGGCGTCTGTGTGGCTCAGGGCTGTGTCTGAGTATGGGTGCACCCGGGGCTGTGTCTGAGTGTGGGGTGAGCCCCACCTCTGTGTGGCCCAGGGCTGTGTGTGAGTGTGGGTGCGCCCGGGGCTGTGTCTGAGTGTGGGGTGAGCCCCGCCTCTGTGGCCCAGAGCTGTGTCTGAGTGTGGCTGCGCCCGGCATCTGTGCAGCCCAGGACCCGCTTCTGTTGCCTGTTGTGATTGCAGGCTCTCATCTGCTGTTGTCTCTCCTTTGACTAATTGTTTCTGACTCTGTCCTGGATACTGTATTTGCAAAATTGCTTGTGGACCTAATTTGACTATCTTCCTGGCCGGGACTAGAGTTTGCCTCGGCCTGGCAGCTGAGGACATCAGCCCCCAAGACCATGTCAGTGACCGAGACAACGCGAGCAGCAGCCCTGAAGGCCTGGGTGAAGCCGCCTGGGACCCAACACAAGGGGGCCCTGGGACCTCTGCAGTCCTGGTCCCAATGTCCATGTACCCAGCTGTTGGGTCAGCAGCTGTCCCAGGAGGAAAGCAACCTCACAGGTCACCCAATGCCGGGAGCCCTCTCCTTGTGTAGACCCTTGACCAGGAATCCTGCGCGCTCCATGAGACTCCCGGGACTCCAGGCACATTCTGTGTGTTTGAGCTCTTCTGCTGTCTTGTGAGTGGCCTCTGTACTGCCCAGTGGACGCCGCCCACGCCGGGCCAGCTCCTTTCTTTGCACCGACTATCTGAATAGTCTGACTGTGACTCCCCTCTACTACTTTGGAGGCTGCACACCCCAGTGTGGACATCTTCCTGCATCTTCCTGAGCACCCCCCTTGCCCTGAGCTAACTGTTTCTCTCTAAGCCCTGTGGACACCTTTCTTTCCTCAGTTACCTGCTCTGCCCTCCCATCTGGGTTGCGTCCCTTCTGCCTAAAGTACAGTCTTCAAAGTGTCCTTTGGTGCAGGTCTGCTGGGAGCCAACTTTTGCCTTTGGGTTTTGAATTTTTTTAATTAAAGGCTGACACTGGAAACTGTGAACACAGCACGCCTTCCCACAAACAAAGGCACCCAGTGAGATCCACAACACCAGCTGCCCAGGAGCCCCCAGCCACTCCCTGTCTCCATCGCTCTCCTCCACAGAGTCTCTAACCCAGCGGTGACTTTGTTCTGAGGTGGGCACAGATGGGATGAGGGTGCTGGTTTCCATTCCACACCTCACACGTGTGAGTCCTGGTGACCTCAGAGGGGGTGATCCCTGCCTTTTTGGTGCTGCTAACACCCCATGAGACTAGCAGCACCCAGATGGTGACAGGTGTCTGAGGTTCTCCCATCTCACGCTGACCATGGGCTGCTGTGGCCACCCTAGCACATCTGAAGCTCCCTTGCGGGACACCCACTGGGCACCCCCAGGGTGACTGGGGTGTCGGGGTGCCTGTTCACTTTAGCTGAAGGTGTTGCACTGCCCTCTGCTGTGGTCTGACCAATCGCCACTGTGCCCAGGGTGTGGGAGGCCCAGTGGCTCACATTCCTCCTTGCGTTAGTCTTTTAAAAACTCAGGAACTGTGGAGGCCTCTTGTGGCAGGTTCAATTTCAGGCTGAGCAATTTTCACATGTCTACTGGCCATTTAGAGATCTTCTTGTATTAGGTGTCTGTTCAGATCTTTTGCCCTTTTCTTTTTGGTAAGGCAGGGGAGGAAGGAAAGGAGAAAGGAGGGGGGAGTGAGGGATGGAAGGAGTGAGGGAGGGAGGGAGGGAGGGTGCGAGGGAGGAAAGACGGAAGGGAGGGAGGGAAGGAATCCTTATTTCTGAGACTGATCAGGAGGCCGTGTTCACTCCCTCCCCCCACCAGAAGGCCTGGGAGAAGCCGCCTGGGAACCAACACAAGGTCAGAGTGGACCACTGTCCTTCTCATGACCTGATAGGATTCTTTATCCGTCCTGGATACAAGTCCTGTACTGGCAAGGGATGATACATTTCTCCTTCCACTCTGTGCCTCGATCTTTTCTTGCAATTTGAACTCCTGTCGGTCAACCTTTTTCTGTAGAGTATTTTTGTGTCCAGCTTAAGACACCTTTGATTACCCCGAGGTCACAGGGTTCTCCTTTGCTGCCTCCTACAAGTTCTCTCAAATTTCTTGCACAATCGGCTGCACAAATGATTTCTATGAAGCAGGAGACTGGTCAGTTGTTTTCCATAAACACTCAAGAGGCAAAGCGCGGCTTGTGGACGGCAGCGACTCTCTCGCTGACCCCCAGGCGGGGCTGCTCCTGGATGCCTCATCCTGCCGCACCGCCCTGTCCACTCACCACACTCTACACCACCTCACCTGCCGGTCACGCTCACGGCCTCCAACACGGTTCTTCAAGGCTGCCTTTGCTGTCCTTGGTCTTCTGCATTTTAAAATACATTCCAGAACAAGCACATCAATGTCACAAAAATCTGTGCTTGGATTTGATCGACATTGCACTGAATTTACCAGTTAGGGAAGAGTGGATGCCTGCACAATGTTGAGGTTCCCAGACCCCAAATGGGCCACGTCCCTCCACCTTTTGAGGGTTTCCTCACTTTGCTTCAAGAATATTCTAGAGCTTTCTGCCCCAGACATCTTTTGTTAATTTCTACGTTTGTTGAAGTTTCTTAGCGTCTGCAATAAGTAACATTTATAAGTGATCATAGTTGTTCCCGGCATTTAAGGCCTCGATTGATTCCTGCATCTTGGTCACATGGGCAGCGACCTCAATTCACTCCCTGGTCTGCTTGTGGGCTTCTCTGGATGTCTCTTCATGTGCAGCCACTGGCAGGTACTGACAGCTTCGTGCCTGGCTTTTAAGCTTTTTCATCTCCATCTCCCGCCTCAGCGTGTGGGCATTTCTGCTGCTCAGAGTGGAGCATCGGTGTTGCTGGCCCTTCCGTCTCACCTCAGGGGAGAACGTCCCACACTGCACAGGTAACGGGCTGTTCTCGGGAGATTTCTGATAGACACCTTGCATCGTTTTAAGCAAGCTCCTTTCTATCCTTAGTTTGCTAAGTTTCTCTTAATTATGAATAAGTTCTGCATTTAAGATGACCATGTGGTCTCTTTGGTTAATCTGGTGAATTATTTAGACCCATTTTTTGACTATTAGCCCTGCTTTTCTGAGCCCAACCTAGTGTGGTGAAGATATTATCACCACTCAGTATCAATGAACCCACCTGGTTCGTACTCTGTTTAGGATTACACGGGATGTCCGAGAGAAATGCTGGCCTGGGTTTTTTTTTTCTTTTTATTATTGTATCTTTTTTTCTTTTAGAGACAGAGTCCTACTATGTCGCCCTCGGTAGAATGCCGTGACGTCACAGCTCACAGCAACCTCCAACTTCTGGGCTTATGTGATTCTCCTGCCTCAGCCTCCCGAGTAGCCAGGACTACAGGCGCCTGCCACACGTCTGGCTTTTATGTGTTGCAGTTAGGCTGGGGCTGGGTTTGAACCTGTGCACCCTTGGTATATGGGGCCGGTGCCCCACTCACTGAGCCACAGGCGCTGCCCCAGAGCTGTGTATCTTTATAGAGTACATATGATGTTTTGATTTTTCTTTCCTTTTTTGAAACATCCTTGTTGGGTTTTGGTGTTAAGGTTATGCTGCCTCAAAACTCAGAAAAAAACATGGGAACTCTTTTTTTTTTTTGCTTCTCTGGAAGAGTTTATAAAAGACTATTCTTCTTAAACATTTGGAAACACTTAACAGTGAAGGGCTGGGCCTTTCTTTCTGAAAAGACTTTAGGTTACAGATAAGATTTGGTAGAAACAGAAGCTATTAAGACGTTTCGTTTCATCTCGTGGCTGTTCTCCACCTAGTTGGTCCTCTCGGCTCCCTTGCCAGCCGACTCGGCACTTGAGTTTGCAGCTATTTTCTCTGTCTTTTAAAAAACTTCAGATGTGAAGGCATGCGCCTTGGATCGATGTCCTCTGGGGACGCCAGAGTTGCCCCTCCCAGAGCGTCTGTGTCATCTCAGTGTGACCTGTGCTCTGCACCAAGGCTCCCTTCTGAGAGCTCGGACAGCACTGAGGAGGGACTCCAGCCACCGTGGGGACACCACGCCTCCCATTGAGGCAGCTGCTGGCCGAGGGGTGGCTCCTGAGCAGCCCGGGCTGAGAGCAGGTGCATGGAGGACACCCGCCTGTGCCAGGGACAAGGTGCCTCAGAGGAAAGGACATCAAAGCCGCTGTGGTCATAAATACATTTTATTTCATAGAAATGCATAATTACAGTGTTTGAGAACATTTGCCCCTAGAAAAGTAGGTCAGCAGTATCTCCGCCAGCTTCTTTTGCAAACACCTATTTTCATGACACTGAACAGGGCACACAGCAAAAGGCTTCTGCTACGCCACTGGGTTTTTTTTTTTTTATGAATTTTCTTTTTTGTTATAAACACCATAGCAAATTAAAAAAGCTATTTAAACAGAAAAATATCATAGTTCTTGATTTCCCTCATGTGGCCACACGCTCCGCACCTCCCCTTGTCCTCCAGACACCAACAGGTGGACTCAAAAGAAAGGGGGCCTTCCGGAAGGGCATGGTGGCTGGTTGTTATCGTTTTAGTTTATTAGGACACTTCCCCCGCAGAAGAGGCGGCTTTCAGACGCTCACAACAGAGTGTGCAGCCGCCGCCGGTCAGGAGCCGGCGCAGCAGGGCGTGGGGACCAGGTTGTCAGCTGCAGCTGGCGCTGGGCTGGGTGCAGTCTCTGCGGCGAGGCCCGTTCACCTCACTGGATCTGGATGGCTCCGTGCTCCAGCTGCATCTCGGGCTGCAGGGTGGGCTGCAGGGTATCAGCTGTCTGCAAGGGGGAGAAGAGGGCTTTTCTAGAAACACACCCACTGCTGCATGGCCAGGCCCCTCGATAGCCATAGAGCAGCCAGGATGTTCACGCACAGGGCAGAAAACACAGAGAGCTGGGCTGTGGCGAGGCCGTGGCTCCACCTCGCTTGATACAGAACATAGGGGTGAGGCGGGCAGGGGCAGCTCTGGCAACTACCCCCGTGAACGTGGCCCCTGGCCAGCGCGGCTGCTTCCTGTCTCTATCCCTGCTCCTTTGACTCATCAGGAGTAACCAGAGGGCTAACAACACACCCTTAGCCTAACAGACTGACCCAGACTTTCAGTTACCATTCTGCCTTTCTATAAAAACAATTCCAGTGTTCCAGGGAAGTATTTTGGGGTTCAGTGACTTTTGTTTTCATAAAGACATAAGTTGTAATCAACAAATTACAGATATTATAGGGACCTTATAGATGCACAGCTTTATTTGATGACAAATTAAAGGGAAAATATCTAATTTCAGAATCAGTCCCTGATCATCTGTCTTAGCATCAAGAACGTGCCCTGATGGGGGTGGCAATCTGGGGGCTTCTGCCCAGACTCCCCAAGAGGCTTAGTGGGAAGAGTCACATGGGCCACAGGAGGAAGCGGGGAGCCCACAGTGGGGCCGCCAGCCTGGGGCTGCCCTAGAGGTGTGACCCTCAACTGAAGGCAGCACGTGCTCAGGTCAAGGGGGCCCGCTCGCCCCCTAGTGCCCAGGGCAGGCTCTGAGGTGGGGGAGAGAGGGCAGAAGGTCATTTTGGCCCCTGCATTTATAAACATTTCCACAAGACAGAGTAACTCAAGAGCATGCTGAAACTGGAAATTGGGCTGGATCCACCTTCTCACCTCCGTGTTTTCAGGTGCTTATAAAAAACAAGATCCTTAAATGAGCAACTATATCCAAATCACAGGTCTTATAATGGTAATTCACCAAGCGAGGTGTCAGCATCAGCCACAGCAGGAGGAAGGGCCTGTGCATGGCCACGGCATGCATGTCTAGGGGGGACGGGGCACTCACCTGTGCCCCGGCTGTGTGGTCACTCACCGGCGCCAGTTGCACGTACTGGACCTGGATGTCACTGGCCTGGAGAGGCGACCCATCCACGCCTGCTGCAGTGGGGTCTGAGGAGGCCACAGCTATCAGCTGGGCTCCTTGCAGCACCTAGAGAAACAAACCCAAGGGCGGCTCTGCTCAGTCACCAGCCCAGCGGCAGCCAGAAAGCAGTGGACACCCCAGGGTCTCCTGAGCAACATCCAAGAGACAGTGCCAGGCCCATTTAAGGACGCAGGGTCCACTGTGTCCAAGTCACTGCAGAGCAGCACCTGACATGAAGTGTGAGGACCAGAGTCACCAGTCAGCAGTTAAAACCAGAAATGGGGGGGAGCTCTCTCACTCATGAATTTGTACAACTGGTTTTCAGGCAGGTTCAGAACTCAACAAAACACCTGTCTGGTACCCTCTACCCCAAAACGCCCAAGCTGCTGTGATGAGCCTGGCTAATGGCTGTGACCTCTGGTTGACAGCTGCCAGTGACCCCACCTGCGCATCCCAGGGCCTCACAGAGCCACTGACACAGCTGTGTCCCACTCCCTGGAAGACCCACAGGCTCCCAACAGACAGGAGACGGGGAATATGAACAGCGTTCCCTGCTGATAATAAACACACACACTGCAGACGCGGTTTGGCACTTTTGTGGAAAAAAAAAGAAAATGATTCAGTATCACATAAGGCTTTTGAGAAGCCTTTTCTCTCCCTTGATTTATGGGGTAGGATTTTCTTACTTCTGCTTCAGAACAGAGTTTTTCCAGGCAATGTAGCTTTGCTTTATTTTAACCTAAGCTCAGTTTAAAGTGACACAGAGTTTTAGGGAAATTGAGGAGATGCATCTCCAGAAGCAGAGGCCAGAGACACAGACCTGGCTAAGAGCTGGTTCCTTCCAGCACCTTCTGCTTTCTAGGGGGAGACCAACCCCTTCTGCCTGACCCCCAGGCCCACAGCATCCCGGGGGCAGAGCGGCCTCTGCATCTAAAAGCCAAAGGGCAGGGCCCCTGTGGGTGCTATGGGCCAGGATGTCACGGAGGGAAACACCACCAGACTCTGTGTTTCGTTCAGAAGAAAGTCACTGCCCACTGCTAACATCCACCTCGGGGGTGAGGCTGCTCCCTGAACATTCACTTCCTGTCAATCTATCTGTTGTATTAAATAGTTCTGTGAGTCATGAATTTTATCTAGATCTATAAAGCCCTGTGTGCATCCTGCTGGGACCCTCGTACACGGGAAGCATTTCACGAGGGAATGCTTTTCAGCGTCCCTGACACCTCATGGCTCTCAAGGTCCTGCCCATCCTGCTCACAGTCACACTCACGCTGCGCCTGCCACAGCAGGAGACCCATAGCCGCCAGGGTCCTGGGAGGGACAGAGCTTGCAGAAGGCCTGTGCCCGGCAGGAGGAAGATGGTAGCACGCTCTGCGGCAGATGGGGCCACTCTGCCAGGGACACCAAGAGCCAGGCAGGATCGCTGCCTGGCATCTGGCCCTGCAAGTGGTGCCCAGGAGGCGAACTGGCAGGAGGACGAGGCCACAGGCAGGAGGCACGGCAAGGCTCAAGGATGCTCAGAGCTGGGAACAGAGCCAGGAGTGGGACTGTGGAGACACAGGTACACTTCAGGGGCCGACAGCTCGTCCACACTCCCCACAGGCCAAGGGCTCAAAGTGGGCCTGGTCTCCCTGCCCTTTGCCTCAACTGTTTCAGCCTCAGTGGACAATTCACATTTTGCCATCACTTTTTAGAACAAAAGGTGGCAGGACATTCTTGCCTGCTGCTCCTTTGTGGCTTCAGAGCACCTGTCAGCACAGTGCACATTCTAATTCCAGCAGCCGTGCCTGGCAGAGGAGCTGCCTCAAGGGTGCCCACATCCTAAGCCCCAGGCCCTGACAATAGGGAGCTTTATGTGGGTAGAGGGACCTCAACTGTGACAAAACTGACACCCCACACTGTCCAGATGGGCCTAGTGTCACCATTGGAGCCTGTAGCAGCTGAGACTCCCCCAGCCACACAGTCACAGACAGGATGTGAAAAGGACCCAGCCTTTCCCGGCCTTCAAAGACAGATGGGACAGAACACAAAAAAGGTGCTCTGCTCTGGAGGCCCCAAAAGAAGCAGCCTGGGACACCCTGACTGCCGCCCTGGGAGATCTATCTGGTGTGGGGTCCTTGGTTGGGGTTAGGGTTGGTGGCAGCCACAGGAACTGCCTGCAGCCACCCAGGCAGGTCCCCAAATGGCTCTTCACTAAAACACAAAACTCCTGGTGTGTGGCTCACGCCTGGGATCCCAGCAATCTGGGAGGCTGAGGTGGGTGGACTGCTTGAGGTCAGGAACTGGAAACCAGCCCGAGCTAGAATGAGACCCCCTCCCCCCTAAAACTAGCCAGGCATTGTGGCGGGAGCCTGTGATCCCAGCTGCTTGGGAGGCTGAGGCAAGAGAATCATGAGCCCAAGAGTCTGAGGTTGCTGTGAGTTATGATGCCACGACACTCTACCCAGGGCAACAGAATGAGACTCTGTCTCAAAATAAATAAATAAAATAAAAACACAAAACTCTCAAATGAACAAAAATAACAAGAAACACAAGCCCTGACAGTCCTTGCCTAGTTTTCCTGTTCTAAACCATCTGTGCTGAGGGAGCTGAAAGGTCTCCCAGGATAGAGGGGAGATGACGTCTCCTCTGCTGCCCATGGTCCCTGACCCGGCACTGAATCCCCAACAAATCAGATGCCTTCCTAGCCAGCGGATAGAGGGTCAGTACCCTCCCAGAGAGTCGTGGCTACAGCTCCGCAGAGCAGCACCGGCCCCACACCTGGCACTGCTGGCTGTGAAGGCCTCTGCTGATATTACCCTGGGCCCTGCAAAAGCTTTATTTTTCAAGTAAGCAAAGCAAATCCCAGGAGGGCCCTCGGGCTTCCCCAGTACAAGTCACATGAAGCCACCCAGGGCCCTGGCCCGGGGTATTCTCTGCTCAGCAAACTCCCCAAGTTGGGGACAGTGAAGTGGACGGCCACCAGCCTGGCTCTCCAAGCCTGCAGGACACGGTGCTCCATCCTGACGCATCTCAGGAGAACTGTCTATGCAAGAAGTAGGAAAGGTTGTTTTTCTTATTTTTGGCACAAAGAGCAAAAATGCCAAAAGCCCCATTCAAAGTAACTTGCCAAGTTGCCTGAAACCTGAGTAAACTCAACAGATTTATCTGTTCTAAGAACAAGAGCCACCACCACAAACCTCCATGCTCCACCAGTGCGAGGAAAAGCAGCAGGAAGACAGGCCTGCTGTCTGTGACCACTGAGACCACCCTGCCCACTGGTCACCAGAGGGCAGGGGAGGAGGGACACACATGTGGTGGGAACAGCATCCAACCCTCTGCCCCCTCCCCAATGCACCCACCTCTGGAGGGAGCACCCACAGTCCCACTAGACCACAGTCCAGGGAGGGGACAGCATTTGCATCTGGTTCCCTCCTGAAGGTCCAGCGCTGCTGCTGCCTCTGTGCTAATTCAGTGGAAGTGGCAACAAGGACCAGACAGACTTAGTGGAGATGCAGGAGGACGTGAGGTACCTTGGGGCATCACAAGCAAAGAAGGAAAAGAGGGACTGTCCCTGTCCCCATGTGGCTGTGCACATAGCTCTGGGCTCTCCCTGCAGGAGGCTTGGACCAGGAATTCTAGGGGAAAGTTTAAGAGATTCAAGTGAAGTTTTTAAAAGAAAATGTAAAGTTAAGAGTCTCTAAGAGTTAAGGAGACCCCTTAGTAAAGGTGTGAGACATCTGTCAGGATGTCCTTCTTATCACGCAGGACACGTTCCTTCCTCGAGTTTGGAGCAAGGCTCAGCTTGAGGCCGGGGAGCCTCTGTGAAGCTTGGCAAAAAAACTCAGTTCCTAAAAGCACCCACAGAAAGGCTTCCTAAGACCACGAGAAGTCACCAGGAGGTTCTGTCACTCCAAATGCCACTTCAAATCAGCGGCCTCACTGAGCACCCGGCGAGAAGCCCACACACTCCCAGAGGTCGTGCAAACACACCCAGGTACTGTTGTGAGGCATCATTTCGGCTCCACACAGACAGAGGAGACTGTGGGCATAGCAGGCGCCTGATGAAGCGACAAACTTCCAAGAGCCAGGAGCACCACCCCCCTGCACCCCCATCACCTTCACCACTTCCCCTCCCCACGGTGACCCTCTCCAGAACTAAGCTCACACATTTGTGAAGGGCCCTGTTCAACAGAGCACCTTGGGGTGCAAACGGGACCCTGAAGCGCTGCTCACATGAGCCTGGTTCTAAGAACTTCCCCACTCTGAGTGTCCCCTGGATGCAGCCGAGCACATAACAGGGTGTGGGGCTAGAGGGCAGGAACACAGGGACCCAAAGCCCAGGAGCGAGCAAGGGAGGTGCCAAAGAGCGGTGAGCTCAGCCTCACCTGTGCTTCCAGGGCAATTAACTGGCCATGAAGGACAGGCCAGGACAGTGTCCCACCAACATCCCAAGCCTCAGGTCCCCACTGGCTGCCTGGCGGCCTCCACTGGAGTGGCTGAGGGTGGAGCCTCCCTCCCCAGCATGGGGGTGGGGGACACACTGTGGCTCCCCAGCCAGGAACACGCCAGGGAGGTGGTCTCAGCTGCAGCCTCAGGCTGAGCAGCCCTTGGCTGCACATTCCCCCACCAGGGCTGCTGTTGCCGCCTCCTGGACCCAGGCCCCTGCTCCCTGCCCTGCACCTGCCTTCGCAATGGTGTGTGTACAAACTGTCGGCTGCATTGTGGTGTGAGAATGGGTGGCCATGCAGGGACCAGCTCACAGACAGACATGCCACACTCCACAGGCCGACCACACAGAGGACTGCCCTGCCTACTTCCCAGCCGTGGGCACCTCACCACTTCCTGAAATCCATAGCAGATGGAGATACAATCTGTTGATTTGGACTTGATTTTAAATTGGTAATGAGAAAACGCATGGAGGCCTGATCTTTAATGCAGAGGCGGCCCCCACCCTGCTGAATACTGTGGCTCCAGGGTTAGAGGTCGACTCTGCTGCCAGTGGGACAGGGCGCCACACCTGAGCCCATCTCCTGACTCAAAACAAACAAGAAGTCTGAGGCACACCACGGAGGGTAAAGTGCACG